CGGGACATCCTCGATACTCCCAACTAACATAACAAATTTCACCTCTAGGCATCGATAACTCCAAATCTTAATCGAGTAAAGTGGAGTGAGGTTGAGTCTTTTGAGCAAGCATTTGGGAAATAACCGAGTGAGTAGCACCAGAGTCAATTAAAATTCGAGCAAAGTGGCCTAGAACATTCAATGTACCTATGATTAAGTCAGGATTAATCTGAGCATCCTGTACGGTGATGTTGTTGACGCGACCTTGCACTTGTTGTTTACCTTCACGACCTTAGTTTGCTTGATTCTAATTGCCACATCTTTGATGACCTCAACCCTGGTTTGTTTGGTTTGTCTGTTTGCCTGAACCGTCATTGCTAGAAGCTACATCAAGACTCTGATACTATCTTTTAGTATACCATTGTGCTCTGCCACCCGATATGGTGTATAACCTCCCTAGTACTGCTGATAGCCGCTGTAGACATCAAAATTTCGGTGAAATGAATGTTGACCAATAATTAAAATTTCAACGTTCACGTGTCACATAAATTTTACATGTAGCGTGTGATTCAACGAAAAATCGAAATAAATTGGAAAAGTCATCAAATATGACACGTGTCAATACCTGGCAGAAATGATTTATTTCATCTGATTATTTAAATCCAAAAATCAAGTTTTGGAATTCTATAAATAGGAGGCCAAGGCATTCATTTTGGGGGGAAGAAGGAAGAAAGAAGGAGGAAGGAAGGAAGAAAGGAAGGGAAATTGATATCACACCAAAACCTTCAAGCTTCGGAACTCTAAAGCTCTCAAGCAAATCCCGAAGGATCAAGAAAGCACTCTTCGTTCTTCGTCAAATCAACCTTCAAGATCAAGCCCCAACGGCCCTTGAAGAACTTCCACCAACTCAAGATCAAGCCCCGACGGCCCTTGAGGAAAGTGTTCATCGTTCATCATCCATCATCCATCAACCTTCAAGATCAAGCCCCAACGGCCCTTGAAGAACTTCCACCAACTCAAGATCAAGCCCCGACGGCCCTTGAGGAAAGTGTTCATCATCCATCATCCATCAACCTTCAAGATCAAGCCCCAACGGCCCTTGAAGAACTTCCACCAACTCAAGATCAAGCCCCGACGGCCCTTGAAGAAAGTGTTCATCGTTCATCATCCGTTCATCCTAAGATCAAGCCCCAACGGCCCTTTGGATCAACAACCTCAACAAATCCACACATCCAATTGTTCTTCAAGATTAAGCCTAAAAGCCCTTGAAGATCCGCTCATCCATCAACCTTCAAGATCAAGCCTCAACGGCCCTTGAAGAACTCCCACTAACTCAAGATCAAGCCCCGACGGCCCCTTGAAGAAAGTGTTCATCATTCATCATCCGTTCATCCTGAGATCAAGCCCCAACGGCCCTTTGGATCAACAACCTCAACAAACTCATACACCCATTCTTCAAGATCAAGCCCAACGCCCCTTGAAGATCCATTCATCAACTGTGCATCCTTAGATCAAGCCCCGACGGCCCTTTGGATCAACAACTCATCCACAAACCCACATCCTACGAAGATAGAATCAGAGGATCAAATTACAAAGAGATTGTAACCCCAAAATCATTAATACAAAATATATATTTTGTACACGTATTCTTGTCTCTTGTGTTTCAGGAATTTCTCGTGTTTACAAATTTGGCACGCCCGGTGGGATTATCTCTACCTCTCATCTCTATCCTCAAATCATCAAAAAACGCAAATGGCATCAAGAAAGGATCAAGCTGTTCCTGCAATCAAAGCAAAGAACAAGAACATCATCGCCGCAAGTGGTGATATTTCGGGCATCATAACCCGAAGTAAGGCAAGAGATCTTTTTGTCGCGGCTTCCGCCCCTGCATTAACTCTGTCAAAGGAACAAGAGCACCTGAGATACGAGCCTGTGATCACCCTAGCCTCGCTAAGGGCATCAAAAGGGGAGAGCCCGAGGAAATACTCAGAGTCCCTACTCTCCGACGCTGATTCGAGCGGCAGTACAACCATGCAAGTCATGACCACGGGAGCAACTTCAATCGAGGAGCAGCTAGCTCAGATGAATGAAGCAATCGCAAAGCTCACACGAACTGTGGAAGAGAAGGACTTGCAGATTGCCGCACTTGTCAACCAACTAGATGCGCTGCCCGACGTGAAAGTCGACCCAATTGTTGGCCTATTAAAGAAAGAAGGCGACGAAGAAGAGGAGCCACCAGCGGAGAAAGTCGAAGAGAAGCCACCAGCGGAGAAAGTCGAAGAGAAGCCGAAGCTAGACCAGGCAACGACATCCATGGGATCTCTCTCTATCCAGCAGCTACAGGAGATGATCGCAAGCACTATCAAGACACAGTACGAAGGAAGCTCGCATGACTCCGTACTGTACTCAAAGCCTTACTCCAAGAAGATTGATGCTTTGAAGATGCCAAGGGGTTATCAGCCCCCAAAATTCATGCAGTTCGATGGAAAAGGCAACCCGAAGCAACATGTCGCCCATTTCATTGAAACTTGCAACAATGCTGGGACAGAGGGAGACTACCTCGTCAAACAGTTCGTGTGTTCGCTGAAAAGTAACGCTTTTGATTGGTACACTGACCTCGAACCTGAGTCTATCAACAGTTGGGACCAGCTAGAAAGGGAATTCCTCAACCGTTTCTACAGCACTCGTCGTACTGTAAGCATGCTAGAGCTGACCAGCACGAAACAGTGGAAAGATGAACCTGTCGTCGACTACATAAATAGATGGCGTTCTTTAAGTCTGGATTGCAAAGATCGGCTTTCTGAAACCTCTGCCATTGAGATGTGCGTTCAAGGCATGCAGTGGGGACTACACTACATCCTTCAAGGCATCAAACCACGAACATTTGAGGAGTTAGCCACCCGCGCCCATGATATGGAGTTAAGCATCACCCGTCATGGGAAGAAAGAACAGATCGCCGACTACAAGAATGACAAAGTTTTGGGGCCAAAGGTGGATAAAGCTACGTGGAAACCCACCAAGGAAGCAATGGCGGTCAACACAACTCCAGTCAAAATCCCTACACGAAGCAAGGCGATTCAAACCGAAGCTTTTCCTGATCAAGAGATACGTAGACGCACTTTGAAGGAGCTTGAGGAGAAGACTTATCCATTCCCCGACTCTGACGTGGTTGCCATGTTGAAAGACTTGCTGGACAAAAAGGTGATCGACCTACCTGAGTGCAAACGGCCAGAAGATATGAACCGTACTGACAGTCCAAGGTACTGTAAATTCCACCGCTTCATTAGTCATCCGACGGAAAAGTGCTTTGTGCTAAAAGATCTCATCATGAAGTTGGCTCAGAAAGGGATCATCGAGCTAGATCTTAATGATGTAGTAAAGTCAAACTATACAACCGTCACTTCTGGCTCTTTGAACTCAAAATCTTCACCTCAACCGCTGGGGGCATGCTCCAAAACCATGTCAGTCAAGTCAAGTGAAGTTGAAGGATGGACTTATGTCACTCCAAAGAAAATGCACAAGAAACATGGGTCTCCTCCACAAGTTCACCAATCGGAAAGGGGGCAAAGCAACTATCGTCAACCTTCAAAGCTACATGAAAGTGTTGAGGATGATGAAGTTATGACACAAAGATCGTCCGTTGCCATCACAATGCGCGATTTCTTCCCCAAAGACTTCTTCAATCACTCAGTCAAGACTCCTTGCTATAAAGATTGCAAGGAATGCTTCGCTAAGATCGTTTGACAAATTCAAAAAGCTCCTCGTTCGCACGAGCCTAAAAGGCGACAACCAAAGCTCCTCGTTCGCACGAGCCTAAAGGGCGACAACCAAAGCTCCTTGCCCGCACGAGCATAAAAGGCGACAACAAACGCTCCTTGCCTGCACGAGCTGAAACTGTAAACGGCATCAAATGCTCCTGGCCCGCAAGAGCATAAACTGTGTACGGCAAAATCATCATCAAAATCATCACTCATTTGAACTACGTTATGACTTGATCTCTTCTTTGGAAGAGTACGTAGGCAACTTGAAACTTCAAAACTTCAAGTACAGTCACATCAAAATAAATAAATAAATGTTTCATTAAAGAAAGTCAATTTTAGTACAAAAGAAAAGAAAAAAAAATACATATGTTACTATGTACTAAAAAATATATATATATTCTCTACTCAAAAAAAAAAAAAAAAAAAAAAAAAATACATGTTAAAGTGGGTTTGCCTACATTTAAAACCCATGCCAACTCAAAGAAATAGAAATTGAAGTCCACAAAAAGGAGCAACCCAAATCTCTCATGATGGGCTGGATTGTCGAGCAGGAAGCCCAAAGTGAGCACACAACTCCAGCCCCATCTCCTTCATTTCTCTTTCTCTCTCCCGCATCCACCACCCTCCTTTCTCTCTCTAAAAAACCCTCTCTCAAGAACTCTGGGTTTGTACCTTCAGAGATGGTGGTTCAAGACGATTGGACGAGGGCGGCGATGACCGATGACGTGCTCGTGGTCGAGCTACTGCTGCGGATCAAGCAGGTGCAGGCGGCAGGGCCGTCGTCTTCGCTGCGGTCTTCGTCTCCGATGTCGCAGTCTCTTTTGACGCTCAGGTGGAGTGTAAGGAGGCCACGCTCCAAAGCGGCGTCGTCCGGTTCCAGATTCGACGACGGCGTCTCACACCAGAGGAACAGCGGCAAGAAAGGCAGCCTCATCGCCACCACCGCTACCAGAAGCTGTTAAATCAGATATTGAATAGCAACCGTTGATCAGGAGGCGATTGATCATCGTGAGCCATGGAGGTCCGACCCAATCAGACGACCGACAACTCATCGGCCACGCACCAGCAGCGTCAGCGCCATACAGCAGCAACTGGTCAGAAAATGCCCCCTGCTTCTTCCATCCCCGTCGACACCACCTCATCACCCGCCGAATTCGATCTCTCTCCGTCTTCTCCCTCTGCATCTCCGGCACAAGCCCTCTCAAATCCATCACCGACCTCGAGTGGTGGTTCCATGGTCCGCCGACCCACCAGTTCTTGATGCGCCTCCTCACCGGCTCCCAAAACGAATCGTTTCAGTTCGTCCCTGAGTCCATCGCCTCCTTCGGACCCCAATTCGTCGGGAACGGCGCTAGCGAGATGAGATTGGTAGGCGCCCTCCTGGAGGTGCTCGCCGGCGGCCACCTAGGATTCGAAGAAGTCCAAGGCATGCTGCGAGACATTCTTCCGTTGAAATCAATGGATGATGCGACGTCGTCCGATAGTGCGAGTGAAGCGTTGCTGATTGGTCAGCGGATGAACAGAGAAACGGACCGTGTGCTGAAAGCTTACTGCCTTGCATTTGATGATGAACTCGGTGATACTCCAATTGCTGATGTTAAATCACTTACTCACTATGGTGAACCTTACGATGGTAACACGCGTTTCTTTAGAAGTACATTGTTCGTTGCTGTGGTTCGATCTTGTTATTCCGAATCTTGCTTGCTTCACGGCTTGGATTGGATGCCGCCTAAGGGAGGAGTTACTGAAGAACAGATGCTTAAGTTTATGGGGGCAAATACGAGCTTAACCCCGTTGCAAGCAAAAGTACTTCTTGAGGATGAAGACATTGGTTTTGCCTATATAAGTCGTGTGTGAAAGCCAAAACAGTGAAGCACGTTGTTTTGACATCATCAGCTGCTACAGTTTCGATCAATACACTTGACGGAACAGGTTTGGTTGTGAATGAAAAGGATTGGAGTGATTTGGAGTTCTTGACTACTGTCAAGCCACCCACTTGGGGGTACCCTGCCTCCAAGACACTAGCTGAGAAGACAGCTTGGAAATTGGCCGAAGAAAACAACATTGATCTAATCACTGTGATCCCTTCTCTTATGGCCGGTCCTTCTCTCACTCCAGACGTTCCTAGCAGTATCGGCCTTGCCATGGCTTTAATCACAGAAGATGATTTCCTCATAAATATGGCCCTGAAAGGTATGCAAATGCTATCAGGTTCAATATCCATTACACATGTGAAGGATGTCTGCCGGGCTCATATATTTTTGGCTGAGAAAGAATCTGCATCTGGTCGGTACATTTGCTGTGCTGCCAACACTGGCGATCCCGGAGCTGAAGCTGCCAAGCCTGCCATAGGAGGAGATATAAACATCAATGACCACCACAAAAAGAGAAAGCAAATTATACAAACCCAGCAAACCAAAAGCACAAAATCAGAGAAGAAAAAAAAAAAGAGTATCAGAAATGGACTCCGTAAAGTCCTTCAAGGGCTACGGCAAAGTCGACGAGCTCTCTCTGCAGGTCGCCATTCACGCCGCCGCGAAGCTTCCCGGGCTGCCTGCGAAAATCGGCCGGAACATCGCCAATAACACCCACCTGGAGAAAGTTCTAGACGTTTGCGAGGGCCTGTTTGAAGACGTGGTTGACAGGCTCAACGACAAGCCGACCTCCATGGATGTGAATCAGGGCGACAAGCTTCTCTCCGCCGCCAAAATCAACGACATCAAGACGTGGTTGAGCACCACGTTTAGGCATGCTGAGCAGCAAATCCACGCAACCTGCCCACTCTTCTTTTGCTTCGACGCTACCCGCTGCAAGTCCAACACCACCACCAGCACAGCGGCAACAGTTGCATGGAAGTCCACAATCATCATCAAATGCAAGTTGAAGTTGACTTCGAGAGTTTTGGCTGGCTCTTTGAGCCGATGCTGTTTTCGAACAACTTCACAGGCGGCCTCTTCACTTCTCTGTCAAAATCTTCATCTCTGACCAACAAGACAGCAACTTGCTTCGGATTATGTACGCCATGGAAGCTGCACAGGTACAAGCTCCAGCGCACTCCCTCCGCAGCGAGCGGTGTCCCTTGTAGCAAACAGCAACAGCAGCAACCTCAGCAGCAGCTCCAGCTCGCCCAAAGCCTTCGTGCTCTCCGTCCAAACTTCACGGCCGTGCCCTCCATTGCTGAAGCTCCCCTACTTTCGAACCTGCTCATCGCCCCAGCGTCGCACCTCAAGCTGCCGTGCCACTTCTGCACCTCTGCCATGGCTGCTGCCTTTGAATGAGATTGACAAAAACAAAGTTTGTCAACACACACCCAAAGATCTCATCCGTCTGCTTGCCTCTGCTGCTGCCTTTGAATGTGATTGACAAAATCAAAGTTTGTCAACTCACACCCAAAGATCTCCTCCGTCTTCTCTCGGACTCAGCCTGGGTTTTCACCCACGAACTCAGCCTTGCAGATGGCCATATAAAGAAAAAAAAAGAAAAAAAAAAAAAAAAAAAAAAAAAAAAAAAAGAAAGTAGCAATGATGATGCCGGGAAGCATCTTTCAAAAGAATAATAAAAAAATTAGCAATGATGATGCTTCTTGAATCATGTGAAAAAAAAAAAGAAAAAAATATATATATAATAAAAAGAAAGAAAAAAACGATGGTGGTGCTTCTGGCACCATCTGAAATATATATATATATAAATGAATGGTGGATCAGCGCCACCGAAAGCAAAGAAAAGAATAAAAAAAATGGTGATGGAAGGTGATGTATATGTTTTATCTGTATTTAGCATAATACACTAAATAAAACGAAGCATGTTCATTGATTTTCGAGAAATTACAAGTGCGAAAAAAAAAAAAAAATGTATCTAACAAAGAAAGAGAAAGATGGAGCTTTCACAAAGGTTGTTCACGTGAAGCCCCACTACTTGGCCAAACTCCAGGAGCGGGAAGCAACGAAGATAGATCATTCGAGGCCCCAATACTTGGTGGAACGCTTGATGACGCCGGAAAAATGTGCCTCTGGAAGAAAGACGCAAGCCTTTGACGGTCACTTTGAATGCGACCTTGAGATTCTTGCATCTCATCAAGCTTCCTCTTCATGCCCGACGAATAGTTATTTGCAAGCACATGCAAACTTCTATTCTCGTACTTAAGCTGTTTAATCTCCTGCTTAAGATCTTCCACCTCTGCCATCAATGATTCCACCTGACGGGACCGAGCAAGCAGGCGTTGGCCCATGTTGGACACAGAGCCCGCACACTGAACACTAAGAGCGAGGGACTCTTGAACGGCCAACTCATCGGACCGTCCTGACAGCAGCCTACTATCTTTTGGAGTGAAGAGGTTCCTAGCTACTATTGTAGCTGTTGTGGCGTCCTGCATCACGGAGTCTTCACCTGTAAGAGGACCGTTAGAAGATAAGAAAGAAGGGCACCATACATTACCTTGAAGCGGCGCAGCCGGATCACTGCTGAGACTCAATTCTAAGCTAAGGTTCGATGGGTTAGCCATTTTTCAAAGGTGTTAAAAGAGATGGGTGGATGGAGTTAAAACTCAAAAGGCCGGAGATGATTTTCAGGAATGAGCAACCTTCAAAGTATGCATGTTACAGGTGATCAATACCTCTATAAAAAGGAAGAGGCGCTTGCTCAGAAATCAAAGAGGCGTTGGTTCAGAAATCGAAGGGCCGCTTATTCAAAAGTGAAGAGACATCGCTCTGCAAATCTCAAAAGCTGGATTTTCCGGCGTAAGTTAGGCGACGCTTTCTCGGCTTTCCAGAAAACGCGTTCAACTTTGTCAAAAGATCTCCGACAAAGTTGAAAACACGTGGAGGCTGGCGACGCTTTCGCGGCTTTTCAGAGCACGGGTGCCACTTTGTCAAAAGATCACGTGGAGGTCATCATCGCAGCTACACATCTTTAGCTGACAAGCGCAAAGTTCGGCGACGCTTTCTCTGCTTTTCAGAAAACGCGTGCCACTTTGTCAAAAGAGACGCTCGTTCAGAAATCGAAGAGGCGTCGTTCAGAAATCAATGAGGCGTATTCAAAGATCGAAGAGTCGTCACTATTTCAAAAAGCCGAATTTGCGGGATCAAAACGTTTGTCGACAAGGGTAAAAGAACAGTACCACCACTTGCTATTGGGAAATCCCTATATATGTCGACCTTCATCTTTTATGGCAAGGCAAACCTGCAAACAAAAAAAAAAAAAAAATGCCCAACTCTTCCTCACCTCCGAGAGTACACTCCCAGCAAAGCATTTCAAAATGCTCAGTTTTCTTCCTCTCCGGGAATACCCTTGCAAACAAATGACACCAAGGCAAAAGTATCTCATATCATCAAGGGCGAAAGCAAAGGTATCTCATATCATGCTTTTCCCCTATCTTTTCCTTTGCCCTTGTTCTCACCTGCCAGGACAAGGACAGAGAAAGCAATATGTCGGAACCTCCACTCAAACTTGCGCTGCCACCAAGAAGTGATGGTCCATTCAAATGCAAGGTTTGCATTCAACTCCTGCATCAGGAACAAATAGTACAAGAGAAGATGCTAAACATGCATAAGGAAATACCACTTCTGCAAAGGGGAGCAAGTAAGGCAAGTGAAAATGATGCATTGAAGCATGTGGAGACAAGCTACGACTGCATATGCTGAGCTATCCTCTAACCCTCTTCAATACGAATTGGAGAGATTGAACAAAGATACAGAAAAAAAAGGAGTAAGCTCAGACCTTCGGGGAAGACCAAAAGAATCCTGCTGCCCAGTTCAAGAGTAGCACAAAGGAAAATCAACGAGTGGAGGAGACCAAAAGAACCCTGCACCCAGTTCAAGAGTAGCACAAAGGAAAATCAACGATAGGGGGAGACCAAAAGAATCCTCCAGCCCAGTTCAAGATCAAGCCCCGACGGCCCTTGAAGAAATCACAAGTCCGATTCAAAATCAAGTGTTCACCACCCTTGAATCAAATTCAACTCCAGATCAAAGGAGTAAGTTCAGACCTTCGGAGGAGACCAAAAGAATCCTCCAGCTCAGTTCAAGAGTAAGCCTGTGGAAAATCAACGATTGGAGGAAACCAGAAAATCTTCCAGTCGAACTCAAGATCAAGCCTCGATGGCCCTTGAAGAAATTTCTAGCCCAATTCAAGATCAAGCCTCGACGGCCCTTGGGTTGACATCTACATTAAGGGACTTCAAAACGCATCTTCTACACGTGACAAGCACATGTCTACGACGCGCCTTGAAGTGGGGGCATTTGTAGACATCAAAATTTCGGTGAAATGAATGTTGACCAATAATTAAAATTTCAACGTTCACGTGTCACATAAATTTTACATGTAGCGTGTGATTCAACGAAAAATCGAAATAAATTGGAAAAGTCATCAAATATGACACGTGTCAATACCTGGCAGAAATGATTTATTTCATCTGATTATTTAAATCCAAAAATCAAGTTTTGGAATTCTATAAATAGGAGGCCAAGGCATTCATTTTAGGGGGAAGAAGGAAGAAAGAAGGAGGAAGGAAGGAAGAAAGGAAGGGAAATTGATATCACACCAAAACCTTCAAGCTTCGGAACTCTAAAGCTCTCAAGCAAATCCCGAAGGATCAAGAAAGCACTCTTCGTTCTTCGTCAAATCAACCTTCAAGATCAAGCCCCAACGGCCCTTGAAGAACTTCCACCAACTCAAGATCAAGCCTCGACGGCCCTTGAGGAAAGTGTTCATCGTTCATCATCCATCATCCATCAACCTTCAAGATCAAGCCCCAACGGCCCTTGAAGAACTTCCACCAACTCAAGATCAAGCCCCGACGGCCCTTGAGGAAAGTGTTCATCATCCATCATCCATCAACCTTCAAGATCAAGCCCCAACGGCCCTTGAAGAACTTCCACCAACTCAAGATCAAGCCCCGACGGCCCTTGAAGAAAGTGTTCATCGTTCATCATCCGTTCATCCTAAGATCAAGCCCCAACGGCCCTTTGGATCAACAACCTCAACAAATCCACACATCCAATTGTTCTTCAAGATTAAGCCTAAAAGCCCTTGAAGATCCGCTCATCCATCAACCTTCAAGATTAAGCCTCAACGGCCCTTGAAGAACTCCCACTAACTCAAGATCAAGCCCCGACGGCCCCTTGAAGAAAGTGTTCATCATTCATCATCCGTTCATCCTGAGATCAAGCCCCAACGGCCCTTTGGATCAACAACCTCAACAAACTCATACACCCATTCTTCAAGATCAAGCCCAACGCCCCTTGAAGATCCATTCATCAACTGTGCATCCTTAGATCAAGCCCCGACGGCCCTTTGGATCAACAACTCATCCACAAACCCACATCCTACGAAGATAGAATCAGAGGATCAAATTACAAAGAGATTGTAACCCCAAAATCATTAATACAAAATATATATTTTGTACACGTATTCTTGTCTCTTGTGTTTCAGGAATTTCTCGTGTTTACAGCCGCCTTGGTAATATGGAACGTCAGGGGAGTACTCGTACGCTCATCCCGGATACTAGGATATGTCACCCTGGTAGTGGAAAGCACCACCATAACTTGTCTGCTGGTAGGCACTAGGTCCCATAAGGAATTTCTGCTATGAAGGGATTGTAGTCGGTAATGTAGGAAACTGATTTTTTCTGATTCTAAGGACATTGATTAGACATGTGCCCCTCCTGGCCACATGTGTAACATCCTTTATTTCCCTTTTTAC